CATGATACACGTTGTAACATTCAAAACACTTTAAGGAGAGGGCGTCCGATGCGACTGGTTTCAGACAGGACAGGCAATCTCCTTGTTCACCCATTTCAAACTAAACACAGGCAAACTAAACACAGGCAGACCGGCGAAATGAACCGCGGAAGTCGCAAAAAAAAAAAATGAAGGATAGTAGGGCTTACCTACGAAACGGACATTTCAGTGCTCGTAGCCACGCATTTCGCCGGTCTGCAGCGTGTCGCACAGCGACAGGGTCTTAAGTAGGCAAAGGGCTCCGATGAGGCTGGTCACGTGGGCGGTAGATGGAATCGGCACGCGCCGTGGTCCGCTGATGACGGTGCAGATAGGTGACGATATCGATCGGAGGCTTGTTCCCGAGTTGTTAAGGACGCCTTGCCCACCGCAGCGCCGTGTCACCGTGAAGCCAGATGATCACCTACGAAACGGACATTTCAGTGCTCGTAGCCACGGATTTCGCCGGTCTGCGACCGGTACGACGTACCGGGTTTTTTTGTTTTTTTCGGCAGCTAATAAGTTGTTAAGACTGTGCAGCGAAATCAATTTTTCCACTGATGCCGCCGATAAATTCAAAACTAAACACCGCAAGAAATACACAGAGTGCACAACGGGAGTTGTTTACGAAATTCCAATGTCAAGCGGGTATGTATATATCGGTCAGACCGGCCGATGCTCCAACGATCGCGCACGTGAACATGACGCGGCCACACGAGCAACCCCATCTGGACATCTGGCAACACACTGCAACTGCTGCCATTGCTCGCCGTCATTTAAAGACACAAAATTTCTGGCCAGATACCCAAATAAAATATCCAGGGAGCTCCACGAGGCGTTTGAAATCAGAGCAAAGGGCAAGATGTGCACAAGTGACAATTCTATAACCTTATTGACAAAAGAATTTGATTTTCTAAAAACGAGTCTACACCATGCCTAGTCGTGAACAAGGGTTTTTTCACGGCTATATAAGGGATTTTTTTTTTTTTTAATAAGCGTTAGTTGCGAGTGCACTAGTGTTTACGTATCTTCCTGTCCTTGTGTTTTTTCGGCGCCTGTCTTCGATGCAGATATGAGTTTTGAACGCCAGAACAAACTTACTTTTGCATTCATACCTGAAAAGCAGAGTGAATAAAACTAACGTTATGGCAAGTCGAATTAATTACTAGGCTTTCAACTCACCTTGCTCACGTCACAGGTAGGTACTGATCCAGTGTAAGAGCGTAGTTCTTGACGTCTGTCTCGATTTTCATGATGCTCTTTAGCGCTTTGTCACGCCAACCTCCCTGCAGAAAAGCGCCGATGCTGTGTTCGTTCTAACAGTGTCGGACAGTGTATATAAATGCACGTATGAATTGCATGTTCTCACATTTTTAATGCCATGAATTTGGAAGAAATACGCCGCAACTGACGAATATTTTCGTCTACGTGACTGAGAAATGTGCCAAGCTATTTGTAAGCACGAATTATTCATAATATTTGCAGTCAAGCGCAAGGAGAAAACATATTAACTTTCTACCATATAAATGCATTACCCTGGAAGTCAATTTCAGATTGATTCCCGTCTGCTTCAATTTAAAACCGCACAGTCGGACCTCTTGCGTACATTATATTAACTCTATGTGTCTAGCCCACGCTCGAAGAGCACATCGTGTCATTTTTACTTACATTTCTTGATCACAGAACGACCGCCACCTTTGGATCCATTGCTGCAGAAATTTGTTAGAGACTGTAAGCCGTTTTAACCTTCTCCTCATACCTCAAGAGTTCATTTAGGTACTTCTGTTTAAACTTGTAAAACAAGGTTGACATACAAGTTTCAGCAACAAAACCGAGAGTACCCAATTAGGTAAGGTTTGGTTTCTATCTCTTCCAAGAAATGGCACCAGCCGTCTGACTGTGCTCACAACACGTGCATTGGAAAGTAGCGGCTTCCCGGGTACTGAGCGGCGTGAATTTTTGTTTTTATCGTATTAACTCTAAATAACACGAACTTGTATAAGTAAATGTAGGGACAGAGTGATTCTCTGAGAGAGGAATATTTTAAAGACTACTACAAAAACTAATTTGGTTTCAATTGGGCAACTTCTTCAAGAGGTTCCTAATCGGGTATTTCCGGTCACTATAGGTGTTTTATAAGCAGAGCGTTACCGTTGGGTAACATGGACACTGTACGTCTTCTGGCACGCTAAAAAGCACGCTTGGAAGTCGCAGCATGCGAGATTCGTGCTTCGAATGCCAGATGGCAATAAGTTTAAGAAAGAGACTTGGCACGCGGCATTCGAACGACGGATATCGTGGTGCCTCATGTTACCAGACTGTCTTTTGTATGGTGTATGAGTAGTGTGACGCCGGCTTTACGGTTCCAACGCCGCTTAAATTTGCAAGGGCAACGTTCTCCTAGAGCCTCGACGAGCCGAGCAGTATCAGTAAATAAATAAACATAAATAAAAAAAAAGTAAATAAATAAATATGCCTGCTCGCCCATGACATGCAATGCACGCTGCTGTCTGCCGATCTGTGTAGGTTTCACATTTCAAAGAAATAATCGTCAGACGACGAGATTGCTCAGCTCGCCAACAAAGTGACATCCGACTTATATGACGATGTAGACCCCACAATATCTGATATATGGAGGATACAGACGACCCTGAATCCAACTACTAGGAAGCTTTTCCAAAAAATATTTTCTATTTTAACGTTGTCAGGTTCTTGATTTTTCTTTTCTGTTTTGTTAGTTTTGCGACGGTGACATATCTTGAAGTCGATGCACTGGGGAAAGACGCGAAGCATTGGAGAACTCGTAGTCGTACTTTTTCAAGTACTTCCCCAAACAGTTTTGGAAACTTTGTGCTGACCAGACAAATCTTAATTTAGTGCAAACACGCGATCACCGCTCAGTCGCGACAAACGGAGGAGAAATGCGGACTTTGGCTGGGATCCACTTGTTCGTGAGCTTGATGGGCCTACCCTTAGCGCCGCGGATGTATTGGTCCCTGTCACTCTCGTTGCCGCTGATCAGTAGTCACGTGACGAGAGACAGGTTTTTCGTTTTTCGAACTCAGAAAACGTTTCTCACTTTGTTGATCTTCAGACGCTCACAGATAACGAAAAACACAACAAGTTGTTGCACGTTCAGCCAGTTCTCGATTCGTTTCGTTCGACCTGTGTACAAATACCACGCCCACAAACCTTGTGTATGGATGAACAAATTATACCATTCGCTGGACGGCACCCACCCCGGCAGTATCTTCCATCAACGCGAAACCCAGTTGGTCTGAATAACTTTGACCCTGCGACGACGCAAGGCCTTGTGCTTGATTTCAAGATTGATACTGAGAAAGCGACCCTGCCAGCTCAATCGCCGCAATGAACTTGGAGTTGGAGGAGCCGTGGCGCAAGCTCCCTTTTGATACTGTCCCAACAAGTCAGACAGTTCAAATATTCACCAAAACGTACTATGCTAGGCTGAAACTGGCCGAGCTTCTGAGATCCGGAAATGCTCACCTTGCAGGAACGGTTCTGAGCGCACGAACAGGGGGAGCGACGCACGCAGAAACTTCCGGAGAACAAACACACTGAAAGAGGTGATTCATCATGTGTAGTTCAAAGTGACGACAAGGTGTGTGTGACGAAGTTGGAGGACAAGAAATTAGTGCTCGTTCTCTCGACATCAAACGGGATGTCTTCAGAGTAAGTGGTGATCCAAAGAACAGAAAGATAACATTGACGTACCACAGCCTACAGCAGTCAGGGCATACAACATGAACGTGGACGGTGCTGTAGTGAACGACCACTCCATGTACTAATACCATACTAAAATTTGGACAAAGAAGTGGACAGTCAGGGTATATGCACGCTTCCTTGATCTTTCTATGTGCATTGGGTGAGTTGAATACTAGCAACACTGCACTCAGCATGGCGCGCGCCAAAGAAAGTCCTTGACTTTCTAAATTTCAAGATCCAAATTGCAGAATCGCTTATTCTTTCTGCAAAACTGCCATCGCCTCACTAGGCGAATGGAAGCGAAAAGCGACAGGTTCCTAAGCGACGAAAGCAAGGGGATGCCTCTGATGTTGAAGGCAGCTAGAAAGATTCGTCGAGCTTTACGACGCCCAAGCGACAACTCATTTCGCCTTTGCCACCAGTGGTCTGTCCGGCCAAACTTAACCGGACATACCACTTCCCAAAGCACGTCGCACTTCAATCTCAAATGAAGGGCAGAGCTAAGGATGCTTCGGGAACTCCAGGATTAGCTGCACAAAGTGCAAAGTGTTCCTCCGCCTCCAAAATAGGAGTTTTATAGATTTTCATAAGCACTGAAATTGGGGGTACCCAACTGCGTATCTTGTGAATCAGCCTAGCGTAATAGGATATTACTTTACAAGCTTGTTCGCTCCCTCCCATTTATCCACAAAACAATAATAAAGGGCGATATTTTATAATCTAATTACTTTTTTTTTTCTTTTTTCAGGTTTGAGGAAGAGTTTTTGGTCGGTAACATTTTTAGCATTCGTGTCTGGCGCGTGGTTAGCTCGCTTCGGAGGGCAACGACCCCGCCTGCGCTGGGCTGGGGAGACCGCACGCCAAGCTTGGCTGTGAGTTCGGAAACATTGTAATGGTGCATAGCTGATTGTAATTGCGTCAAGTGAAACCACTAAATCCAATACACAACTACGTTAAAGTGCACCGTTCCTATCGATATTCATATCGAGTTCTACGAGCGTAGCTCCTTCGAACTCTGCCGGCTATGAGCGGGCACCGGAGCGCCTCTAACGTCACTAGAAGTGTAATCTAGCGCAATGCCCTACTAAACTTCCCGGGGCATACAAAGCAGCGCGAAGAGAGTAAGTCCGCTGGCCAGAGAAGCGGTCCGTGTTGGCCGACGCTTTTCCCCGAGACGTCAGCGCAGCCAGTCAATGAAAAACCTCCGAGCTGTGAGCGGAGAGAGAGAGAGAGACGGAGAGCGGGAGAGAGGTGACCGTAACGAGGTGCCCTAGCCAGGGGCCGCGGCCCCGGGCCCGGCTACGATCGTGACGTCAGCGAATGACGTCAGAAGAGCCCGCGATTATCGATTGATGACGCTGCCTGAGGCTCGGTTATCAAGGCGGACCAGCCGGCTCAGCGCGGACTCCCTCAGCTGGCACCACTCGGATCAGAATGCCCGAAGTGTCCCAGTCGCTGCTCTCCGCACGACAGGTGAGCCGGCAGCGAGACCGCGTCCCACCTTGCTCATCGGCCTTGGCGGTACCCTCGAAGCTCTAACTCAGCAGCTCAGCTCGCCCACGTGGCCACGCAGAGAACAGTTTATTTTGCGCGACCGCACGCGCACGGGTCAGCGTCTCTCCAAATTCTGTGCTGCTTTCAGCGTCCCGGCCAAGCACGCGTATGCGTGCAGTGAAAGCATCGCTTAGCGCAACACGCTCGTACTTCTTGCTACGACTTCGCTCGTTCATGAAGTGGCACTATGCGGAGCGTAAGTTCGTCTGCTTCTTTTGCAGGGGTGGGGGTGACGTCAGAACGCCGAGCTCTGATTGGCTACGATCGAAGGGTACTGGGTAGACCTCAGGGCGACTTGCTTTGAGGTCTACCCACTATCCTTCAATGAGAGTCAATTAGAATTCGGCGTTCTGACGCCACCATAACCCCTGCAAAAGAAGCAGACGAACTTACGCCGAATTGGGAAACCGACGGCACCTAGTGGCAAGACGAGAAAGCTGCGAAGGCGGCTTTGCTCGCAAGCTTTCCCGGGCTAATCAGATTTTGACAGCGCCTGGCGGTCTAAAGACGAAGCTGCGAAAGAAAGTTAAAAAAAAAAAAAACTCGGTGAAAATTGTCAACAGACGCATTTCCCGTTTACAAACACAAGCTGTTTCATGCCTCCCGAATGACCTCCTGTCGCGTGGTTTCGGCAGGGCTTCCGAACTTGTTTATGCCAGAACTTCTAGGATGCACAAGTGGTACAGAAATTACGAAATTGGAGATTTAGCTAAGTCCTTCCGTGCTATTCAACAAATACGAAGAATGCAGTTATAATAGGAAAGTTTAAAAAAATTCAGCTAACTTCTTGCTTACGGCTTCTTTACGAAGTACCAAGACGAATGGTGATGAAATATTATGTTGACGTTGCAAATAACAATATTATGGCGGCAATTGTTTCTTCTCAGTTGAAAGTTTGCGGGGATGCAAAATGCAAAAGCGCTGACTCGAGGTAACCGTGATCACCCAAAGTGCGAGCGTAGCGGAAGCTATATACAAGAACGAGTTTGGGACTTTCAGCGTCCCTGCCATGAACACGCGTGCTCGTGCTGCGCAAACGTCGTTCGGAGGCAACATGCTCGTGTGTGTAGCTTGAGGTGCGCTCGCACATAAAGTGAAATGGAATATTCACGGCGAGAAGTTTGGGTATCGCCGCCTGGTGGATCTTTTTCTTTTTTTTTTTTTTTCCTATCTTAGAGGAAGGATACTTCAACTTCCTGTGCCGGTGCAAGCACGTGCAATGCCAAGCTTCTATGCACTATGAAAAATTAAATTAAAACATAACCCCGTGGGTAGCACGTGCACAACCCAAAGTGAGGAAAACAGAAGCGCCCCTAGCGAGCTTCGATCTATCCGCGAGCGTGCCCAAGCAGCGTTTTATGTGACCCACGAGTGAGGGAAACACAGTCCCTTTCTGCTCGGAGTTTACCGGATATTTTTTTTGAAGCATCGGCCAAATCGTTACGGCGAAAATTACGCACCGCATGTAAAAAAAGTTAAATTTCGTTTTTCTTTTTCTGTTTTTTTTTTTTTTTTGCAAACGTTTTTTTTGTATAAAAATAAAATTAATGATGTTCGGTGTAATTAGTTTAGTCATTACTTTCGAGTAATTCACTTTCTTTTTTAATTTGTAAGTTTAAGTGTACAATTCCAATTATAAACTTTCTGGGAATTATAAACCACTAAATCGGCCCACTTTACATAGATATATAAAACGCGTGGTATTCAACGTTAAAAAAAAAAAAGGACGCTCAGTTCGGAGGTGTTTGGAGTTTCTGTTTTCTATCAGAACGGACTTGTGCTCTAGCAGGCCCGCTCCTCGTGGCCAAGGCGCTCGACAACCGGCTCGCCTCTCTCGTGGGAGAGAGGGAAGTGTGGCGCTCATCGGCGAAATGAAAAGCTGTGCTGTTCGAACGGCATTACAGGAATAAGCGTTGATTTTTTGGGGGTGGTTCACCTCCGTCATGCGGAGAATCTGTTGCGCGCTTCCGTCACATGGGTCTGGACTGCTATACCTTGTTGCGGGCTGAGGAAAGCACCTCATTGAATGCTCCAAGGGAGCGCTGGTTCTGCGAAACAACGTGCCACCACAAATAGTCGAACAAGTGAAGCCTCTGTCGACTATAGTATATTCATATAATCCTATTAAATTCTACCGTCGGCTGCTAGTCGGCGCGGTTGGTGGCCAAAAAGGGCAGCCGGGGGAAGGCCGTGCCACTGAACGATTGGACATGAGCTCTGCGTCACATTCGGATACCGTACTCGGACGTTCGAGCTCGAGATCGGGTCCAACGAGTTCGACCACGGGCCGTCTCAGAGTTGCGAAAAGTCCGCATAAGATGGCGCTACAGCGTCGAACCAAACTTGATTGCCCCGGTGGGTATAGCTCTCAGTTCGCAAAATCAGAAAATGGTGCATTGGTCGAAAAAGTACCTGAAATTCGAGTTCACGAGTTTTGTATGGCGCTCCTACCATGGAAAAGGTCGTCGACTTTTAGGGTTCCGTCGCACCAGCCCGCGCGACAGAAAAGCGCTAATTTCGAGTGTGAAAGTCCTAGCAAGAAGTGAGAGTGCGTTCGTCAGAAAAGATAAAATAAATTTGTCTGGAGTAGAGAGATAGTTTAGCCTAACCATGCGGACAGGCTGGACTCTGGCGCCACTGCAGGGGACAGCTTTCTCCGGACGAGAAATAAAAAAAGTCATAATGAGCTCGCTGTGGACCATACCTGGCTGCATACGGCGGCTCATATGAAGCTTCTAAGTAATGAGAAAATAAACGGAGGTGGGAGTGAAGATTTATGCAATGAATGCGGTATGCATCGTCGCGAGTGCGAAATATATCTTGAGCTTTACGCCGAATTTGACAAAAAAAAAAACATTTTGACTATAAACTAAAAAGACCCGTGCGATCCCTGTTTGGTCTTTTTCTGAAGGACTACAGAATTCCTGTAAGAAAGCTTTGAGCATCTACAGGGTGTCTCAAATAGCGGTCAGGCTCTTTAAATCGACCGCAGAAATCGGTTTCTTAGCTTGTCGCGCTACGTTTTTGTGCAGCGTTGCCCACAGGTGGTGCATTTAAAAGAAAATTGCAAACAGCGAACTAATTCGAGAAAAAAGTTAAAAAAATAAAAAGTCTTAATTCTGATGGAAACGCAGCGAAGCCACCTGACTTCAAACGATAGGGCGCTCTATTGTTTGAAGACCGGTGGCTTTGTTGCGTTTCCATAGGAGTTAGGCCTTTTTCTTTCTTTACTTTTTTCTCAGGTAAGTTCGCTCTTTTGAGATTTTATAGAGAAAATGCACCAAACATGGGCAACCCTGCACAAAATCGTAGCCCGGTAGGTTAAGAAACCGATTTTTGCGGTCGATTTAAAGAGCCTGGCCGCTATTTGAAACACCATGTAAAATGTCATTACGGTCCCCATTCACGTAACACTTCTCTCATGTGAGAGGCAATGGCAGTTGTACGATTCTATTTATTGGAATTTATGCGAGCATAAAGTATTCTACGCAGACATTCGCAGTTACCAACTTAGTGACGGAATGTTTTCATTACCTGCTGGATTCTAATATGCTTTTCCCGTATGCTTCGTCACCATGAGACCAAAAGAAGCACTCGAAATATGCTGAGAAGTTGGCGCAGCCTGTGAATGCGGAGATTGAAGGCACGAAAATAAGCCTGTTACAAAGCCTTCAACGATCTTCAGCTGTCGCTAGATTTTAGCCGCTCAATGGTTGTTTTTTGTCTTTGTCGTTGCAGCAGCAGCAGGAAAGAAAATCTACAAGTCCTGACCCTGAAGGAGACTATGGCGGTCATCGACCGGAAAAGATCCACAAAAACGCGCTGTAAGTAACTGCTCGCAACTAAGTTTTTTTGGATAGAGAACCATTTTTTTATTTATTTATTTCGGGTTACCCGCAGTGCCCGGAGGCATCATTGCAGGGGGGGTACATAGTGAGGTGTGAAGGTAGAAATACACTCGTGCATATGTACAAAAGGAAAACAACAACAACAAGCAAACGCAGACACATAGGAAAACACGCTCTTAAACAAAAGCGAGCCCGAAATAAAAGTCACATTGGTTGCTCGCCTTCCAGGTACCGAAGCCAAAGCAACGAGACGGGCGCTTAAATCTTCTTGTTTTATACAATATGGCGCATCAAGAAAACTACAGCATTTAAACTAGCGCTTTTAAAGCACTTCAATCAGCCCGCAAAAAAAAAAAAAAAAAAAAAAAAGTTTTTTAAGGTTTTGTTTTGCTATTTATAAACAGAGGTACAAGCAGGTGGTGAATGTTTACAATGCACAAAACAACAAAAAACCTACGTGGTTAAAAAACGAAAAAAAAAAAAAAGCTTCTTTTGGGTAATCTACGCCGCCAGGTTGCAGACGATGCACGCGTAGTGAGAAGTGTTGCCGAGAGATGGCGTAAGCCGCGTCGAGGGAGCGCCGGCCGATTCGGGTTATGATAGCAGACGATCCCGCCAAAGAACCCGAATCAGCCGGCGCTCCCACAACGTACCGTATGCCATCTGCCGACAGTATTTCTCACTACGCGTGCATCGTCTGCCAAGTGGCGGCGTAGATTGCCACAAACATGTATCTGTTTTTTGTTTTTGTTTTTGAACGAAGTTTTTTTTTTTTTTTCCTTCCACCTCCTGCTTGCAGTTGTGTAGTAAATATCTGCTCAATGCGTTGAGAAAGTGATGTTTACGGGCCGTCTATAATGTGCCTTAAAAGCGTTAGTTTGCATGTTCCGGATATTCACGGAGGCTTTGTAATGAAGCTTTCTTCAAAAGCATATCACGCAAGAATTAGAAACGGAACAAGCTTGTTGATCACGAATGTAAGAAGTAAAAAGTAAACATGAGGGAAGATGCAGAACTTTTCTCGGTTAGCCATGTCTCTTGCTGACTGAGTAAAAATGTGTAGTTCCTTAACATTGTAAAGGGTATGGCAGCCATCTATTCGCTTGATAAGGGCCCTAAAACCCAGGTAAAATAGTGACTTTACGGGCACATTTTTTTTGCGTTTTTTCCACTGGGATTGAATTTACGAGACTTCAGCAGATAATGCAAACCACTGTCTGCTAAGGGTTCAGGTAATTGCCTGAGGCATAGGTAGCCCTGCCTCAATGTTTATTTATTGTTTATCTAACTAAGGCCCTGTAGAGGCGAACCGACTCTCAGGCACCCTGTCTCCTGTCATTCACACCGACGAACAGTCTCTCACCAAGAATATTTTGGGTCTTACAGCTCTTGATTTTATATTAAAATAAGTAAAGACAGATTCGCCATTCAACAATGCAATACAGAATTATATCACATCGGATGCACTAATACATATATCAATCGAGATTAATATGAGCAATTTATGTTTACGTTTAAATGGAAAGAGAAAAAGAACTGGGGACGCCCTGTTTCGACGTGATGATTTCGAAACTTCTTTTGGAAAACGTCGCCTCTTAGAAGCGCCTATATTCTATTAGGGTTGTACCAGCGAACTTTAAATTGATAGAATATAACATGAGAGAGAGGGAGAGCCTGTTGTGCTTGAGCCGTGACAATTTTGTTCTAGGCCTGACCTCTGGCTTCGACTCAGCTTTCTCAAACGCCGGTTCGGCGACTCATCGGCCCGGGCCTCAGTGCGCCCGTCATCGGCGGAAGCCAAGCAATGGGCGCTCTCCTTCGCGGACCTGGCCGCATCAAAATGTAAGGATCGCTCCCCTGCATGGGAGCTCCAACTGGCTTCTATTCGGAAGACGGGTTTTATCGAACAAACCGGTCGATTTTGATATTCAAGAAGCATATAAAGCCCAGTGTGCGTACTGTTCGTACCGCGTAAACGCTGTTGCAGCGAATATATATATATATCCATTTTTTTTAACTTAGTCTTGCTTTAAATACGGACCGGGCGATCACGCACTACGGTGTTCACAAGAGGAACGGACTGACAGAGTATAGGGACAGAGCACGACAGGGTTAGCAGATACAAGCGATATAATTTTTTTCCTTCTATAATTGAAAGGCTGTTACCAAATCATTAGCTAGGTGAAAAGCGCTAATTTTTGGCAGCCCATTATAGGATAACAGTTTGCGTTCGTAAACATCCGGTCTGAGTAGCACACGAAATTGCACCGATGTTGTGCTCGGACAGCTGTGCCACGCAGCCTTGGGGGAGGGGATGAAGAATAGAGGCATGGAGTTTCTCAAAGAGATGTAGGCAAACTAAGAACATTCACTGGCTTCGGCCAAACGTTCCTTCTGCATTTATATGGTTGCCAATATGCAGAGGTTTTGGCCTTGTGAGAGCAATAATATAATGAGCAGTTCATCATCCTTGGAACCTAAAACAAATATTGAAAAGGACAGCCTTTATCATCACACTACCAAGCGAACTATAATGCAGATGGTACGACTAAAATAATGAGAGGCTAGTAATGGCAAGAAATTTTAGTGTGGTGATCGAAATCATATATTGTGCAGCAGTATAGGCGGTTCATGTCCCTTCAGTCCAATAATGCAAACGGAATGTGCAATTTCCAGATGGTCTGGCACTCTTCCACGTGTTCCTGTCCCGGGAATTCAGCGAAGAAAACCTCGAGTTCTGGCTTGCCTGCGAGGAGTTCAAGAAGTGCCGGTGCAACAAGCTCCCCGTGAAAGCCAAGCGAATCTTCAATGAGTTCATTGCTCCTCGAGCACCCAAAGAGGTACGTCGAACAAACATAAAGAGGGAACCCTCGTTGCATTTTCTTTTTTAAGACGCTGGCGGGCTTATTATAAAGTCTGAGATTACTGAACAGCTATGACAAAGTTAAACGCTTAATTAAACCAAGGCAAGGGGGCAGAGGAAGCAGTAGATTGTTTCTGCCTTTGCACAAAACCTTTTAGAGTAAAAGCAATAAAAGAAACTAAAAAAAAAACGCCAGCTAGTTTCTGGTACTACTGTGCTGAAATCTAATTACTAAATGGCGGTTCGACGTCATCGAAAACCCACTCTGACAAGTACTTGGAAATTAAAAAAAAAAAAAAACATTTCCGTTTTTCTTTTTTTTTGAAAAGTAACGAAGTTGCTGATACTTCACTAAAGCACAAGGAAAATAACATCGAAATTTCAGTTCCGACATTTGCGTTTGAGAGCCACCAACTGAACTACGACCGCCTATGAGTGCTCAGGACAATATGGTCTCCATGGCAACCGAGGACCACGTAACGCGTCGTAGATGCAAGGAGTTTAACCAAGTTGTACCGCAGTTCGCCACGCTCAAATGCAGATATCTAAATCAGCGGCATTGCTTGTATTGCGTTGCGTCCGAGCCTGCGTAGATCAAGCTCTATTGTTCTCGTACCGTAGTACCCCACTCATAAGGCTGTCTCTTCTTGCCTGTTTCAGGTTAATTTGGATGCCCTAACACGGAGCCAGGTGATGGACAGCCTGTCTCACCCCGACCGGCAGTCGCTGGACCGGGCTCAACGTCGCGTGCAGGGACTGATGGAGCAGGACGCGTACCTGCGCTTCCTCCAGTGCGACCTCTACCTGGAACTCTGTCGCGAGGAGCCACAGGAGCACCAAGACCAGAGCCCTTAAAAAGGCCCTCCCGGTCGACCATCCGCAGCGGACGTTCCCCAACTGTGCCTTTATGCTAATCCTTTTTGGAAAGAGGGAGGAGACATGTCAACGTATACTGCCATTTTAGAACCCGGCGTGTTTTAGCGCACCTGTGCAGACAATATTGCCTGAAACTATTGTTTTACATCTACTACCCCACCGACATCCATTTTCTTTTTTGTGCCGAATTCCTATTTAACTTTGCAGTATGTCTGCGGAATCGCCGAGCGAAGAATATCCCTCAGAAGCACTGCCACGAAGAGCTCTCAATCCACGATTGTTTCATTTCCTGATCATATAGAGACCGCGCTCTCAGCTTCCACCCCCTCTTCGACTCCCAAGACCGAGTAGCTGAAAGCAACCAATACTTCACACTGCCGCAAACATCTGGGATGCAAGACGACTGACTCTTTACTTTGGAAGTCGTTTTTTTGTTGTTGTTTTTTTTCGTTGTATCATTTGTGGCCACGCAGCCCGAAGGCACAATGAGTTTCAGAAAGAAATAAAATGTCAATGAACATAAGAGTAGAGTGGCTTTTATTCATTTCATCACAGCACTCACGGTCGTTATGTGCGCACAATAAAAAAAAAAACGCTAACGCGTAATTTCTAACAAACGAAACTTGCACTTAGGCCTGACCGTTTTGTTTCACATTTATGTGAAGTCTGGTTCACGCATTTGCTTTTGACGGTGAATGATTTTGCTGTGATTCCCTGTGACCGCTTACGACAAGAAACCATTTTGTCGCCACCTATCGGACAGCCTTGGAACACTTCCAATCTGCGTTTATTTCCTCATTTTTAAGCATCCTTCTTTCGCCATGGGCTTGAAACACCCTTGACAATGTTATGTCTCAGGTGTAATACGACATGAATGTTATACAACTGACAATTTCTCTTAGAGACAATTTCTCTATAGATTTGACCTCGCAAATATTGCAAAACCTCCAGTCAAATTATACGCAGTTCCCAAGCTGTCTAACAGATGGCGCCGTCTTTCAGCGTATGCCAAGGTTTCACTGTTTCCAACTGACAAATCGAGGTCACGTGGTTTGTGGGCCGCGTTCGCAATACGAGTTGTGAAGAGGTGAAAAAAATTTCTGCAAGCGTCCCCGCCTTTCCGCCAGCGTTCCTCCTCGCCTCGCGGCAATGCAGCGCATGTGCACCTTAAAGGGGGACGACCAGATTCGAAATTTTGCAAGGCAGAATATCCTCCTCACCGTGGAAGAGGAGGAAACAGGCAATGGTGGACAGGGTAGAAGGGGGGAGAGGAGGAAGAGGGGAAAAAGGTGGAAAGCGCGAACTGGTCGTCGGTCTCCAAACTAATCTGCATAGGAGGTTCCGCCATTAAATTTCAAACTCTCTTCAAGGTGAGTGGCTCCATCTAGAGTCACTGAATGTTCCCAGAGTACCGAAACTCTTAAGCTTCGCTTCAAACCCGAGTCGCGGCGCAGCAGTCACGATCCCCAACATGGCGCTGCCCTGTGCGGTCGAAGCGAAGCGCGTACAGTGTAGCGTTTGTTCTCGTGTGAGCTCTTCGACCTACGTTCTTGGCCTGTGGCGACACTGGTTTGTTGTAGAGCGCAGCTCTTAGGCGTCCGCTTCCGGGTTTCGCGGCGTCGGCGTCGGCGTAACCGCGTTATAGTTAGCGGGAAAATTGGCGTCGCGTAACCTCAACAGAAATTCGATCTCCCCTAAATTTAGCTGGGAATTGAATTGCTATTGAAGTCACGTGGCATCAATTTTTCAGCTAAATTTAGTGGGGAAACTGTGGGAGGAGGAGGAGGGAATTGTACGGAGGAGGAGAATGAGACGGTACGAAGAAGGAGGAGGGGAGGGTAAGGAGGAAGAGGAGGGGAAGGTACGGAGGAGCGGGAGGAAGAAGAAGAGTAGGGGAGAGGAGGATAAGAGAGGAGGAGGAGAGGAGGAGAGGACAAGGACCAGAGGAGGACGGGAGGATGAGAGGGTACGGAGGAGAAGGAGGGCATACCCTCCCCTCCGTACCCTCCCCTCCTCCTCCTCAAGAGCTGCGCTCTAATTTCGCGTCACAGGAATTTTGAAACATTTTTCATTCCTTATTAAAATTCTTTCCTTTGTTCCGAGCAGCGCGTGACTTGCTCTTCGCTGCCTCGCCTCTCTTTCTCTCGCCTTGAAACACATCGAAGTCGAGTGTTATGCTTAGCGTCTGAGGCGCAGAGTTTGAAACGCAGCACCAGCGCAACAGGAAAGAGCAAGCGAGACGGCAAACTTCTTTGGCGAACCGGATAAGCGGCTACTTGATATAAAAAATCTAGAGAAAATCAACGCATCTTCAGTTCTGTCCTAACACATAGTCATCGATGTCCATAGCTCCCACCCGCGCGTATAGCCGCCATAGCCGTGGTAACGCGGAAACGCTTTATAGATGTCTTTGTTGTTTTAGGCCTATATCCAAAATGGCCGACTGATAACTAGCGCCACGGGTTAAACCAGCCAGTCAGAACTGGATTCTGCGAGGACTGACTTCAGGTAAGCGGACCGAATGAAATTCGGTACTCTGAGAACATTCAGTGTCTCTAGCTTCATCTATGCTGTGTATGCATGCCAGCGATCTGTGCCGTGTTCTCTCGCCGCAAACGATCACAAAAGATCACTACATGCTCGGTCACAGACAAACGCAAATGTGTAAGCCAGCCTTAGTCAAATAAAAAAGCCTTAGAGCTGAATTTTCGCTACGTCACTCAAAAAGGTCACCGTAGGGTGCAGATTGGATACGAGTGCTAAGTCAGCGTCCTGCTGGGGTTCCTGCTCTCGCTGGTTGAAAGAGTTCCAGCCGGACGCTCACCCAGTACTCATGTTCTATCTGAGATAGCCTTCTTTAGTGTCGCAAAAAAAAATTAGCACGAAGGCTTTTTTTACTTTGGAGATGTTGCCTTTATACATGATCGGGATAAACAGCTGAGAAGACGGATAGAAAAAAAAAGACAATTGAGGCAGCAGTGTTGCACTCGCCACTGAAGTTGAATAGACCAAAAAGTACGCATAAGAGGCCCGCCAATCAGGCATCTGTCAAAAGCTCCGAGGTAGCAAGGGCGTATTGTTGAATTGTCCGTGCCATTTAAAGAGGTGTTCATACCAAAATTACAGGAGGACGCTTAAGGTTCGCCTTTAAGAGTGGAACGCGATAGCTAAACTTATACTTGGAATGAGGAGCGTGCTGGTAAGGGTAACGTCTTTATCGTCTTTGTCTTGTCCGTCCTTGTCTTTTATGTTCATTCCCTTATTTATACTAAACCAAACACTCAGAAAGCCAGTTCGACGACGAAGCCATGGAGTGCCCGGTCGCAGATTTGGAGTGCGAGGATCTGGTAGCACAGAGCATTTCTCGGGGAACCTGGACATCAGCGCACAGCTTTTGCAGCAGCGAGGACCCGACACATGGTTTTCAAACACGACGAGAAAAAACGCGGTAGCGCGAGGAACGCGAGGAGCACGAGCGGACATCCCATCGCTCGGGAGAAGTGTGTTTCGGCGTCTCGCCGCAGCAAAGCGCCAGTCACGTGGCTCTCCTCTCATCCGTTGTCTGCCGCTCCACCTTTTTCATTTCGGCAGCCGCTGCTCGTGGCGATCTGCCAGGCTTTGTCAGTGTCTAGGAGGTTATGGTTTTGGGCATTTGCTTTAGAACAGTTACGGCTGCAGACGCCAGCACGTGCGGCGTGTGTAACTACACTCGCAGCGTGCTCCTTGGTGCTTGGGTAATTTAGCAAAAGGTGCATTCAACCATAGCCTCCTATATATATACCGACAAAGCCTGGCAGATCGCCACGAAAAGCGGCCGCCGAAACGGAAGAGGTGGAGCGGCAGACAACGAATGAGAGGAGAGCCAAGTGACGGGCACCCCGCTGCGGCGAGACGCCAAAACACACTTCTCCCGAGCGATGGAATGTCCGCTTATGCTCCTCGCATTCCTCGCGATACCGCTTCTTTTCTGGTCGGGTTTGAAAACCATGTTTCGGGACCTCGCCACTGCAAAAGCCGTGCGCTCAATACGAGGTTCCCCGAGAAATGCTCTGTGCTACCAGATCCTCGCGCTCCAAATCTGCTACCGAGAACTCTATGGCTGCGTCGTCAAACTGCCAGGCTTTGTGAGTATAGAGGAGGCTATGAAATGATTTACAAATCTATGCCACCATTCATAATTCAAGACTCGCATCGGTGAACGAAAGCTAAAATAACAACGGTCGTCTATTTAAATGTCGCGTGTTAAAAATAATGAATTCCTTAGGACAACCAGAAAACCTTCTTATCGCGTAGAAGCACTTCGTACACACTTAATCTGGCGTCGGTCAACGAGGTTTGTAAAAAGCACCTCTAGAATTAAACAGCGGTGTTTGTTGATCAACTGTACTTGGAGATTCAGAACGCGGATGTGTAGAGTGGATAACTCAAAAGACAAGGGCGGTGTGTCTCTTTGCTTGCAATACTCTCACAGAGGCGGGATTTCGCTATCGGTTTTGCCGAATGCCACGTTCGACTACATCACTCGCTTGGGCTCATCGCAATAGCTAAAACTTTGATGGCGGCGGCGGCAAAAAATGAAACTGCGGACGTCGAGTGGAGCAACACCGGCGATGCCAGCCTTACTTTCCGGTCTCTCTCTATTTTTTTTTTTTGTCATAGTCGCGATTATATATATATATATATATTTTTTATAGCAAGAGAACTCGGGGGGTAGTTTTAGGAAAGTCGCGTTTTGCAAAATTGATATTCTAATGCAATCCTTCTGCCAGGGCTGAACAAATACTTGTTTCCGGCTCCACATCCGTCACCTGTGCTCGATGTTGCCACTAGATCAAATACCGATGGCACAGCTTGTTTCTACATGAACTCGAAGCTTTTCATCGATTGAAGCATTCGCCAATAACAGCTCAAAAAGAAAGAAAAGAAAACTAACGTTGAGTCACGTGAAGATAAGATAAAAGGAGGTATGCTTTTATAGCTCAAAGATACTTTTGCGCCTTCATAGCAAAACGAAATTAACTGAAAATGTCCTCAGAATTAAAAGGCACGAGGGCGTAGTTCTTCGACCACGTTGAGTAATCGTAAGTCGGAGAATCACAAACTTGCTGAATCACAATCACTGGCAGAGCGTCCCATGCCCACGAAATCTCGACATACCAGAACTCAAGAAACTTGACTCTACAATAGATGGTGGATGGATGATATTGACTATGCCCTTTGAAACGGGCGGTAGATTGCGCCACCTAGCCTAAGATTACGTTTACCTCCCACACTTAAACACCCAATTTCTTTTTCTCTACATACCTGCAACTATCACTTGGCTAGGGCAAAGAACCTCCAGGCCTTCGGAAAATCGGGCAAATACAAAATAAAATAACAACAATAAGAAGAAAAACGTACCCTACCTTCTCCGACCGGCGAGGGAGTCGCCAATTTTCCTCTGGTCAACCTTGTTGGAGTTTCCTCCAAACGCAGATTCACTGAGAGACA